CGGATCTAGACCGTTGAATGCCTCTTTCAGATTTTGAGATTGTGAAACCATAAATAAATAACTGGGGCTGAGGCTTTTAGGTGAATCTTCTTCGCCATAGCCACTGAAACTTGGAAATAATTGGGTTCGAGAGGCTGAAATTGATGGTGTCATTTATAATTTTACTAACAAAAAATTCGGGTAATGGAGAGCTTCACCAAAACAATGGCGGAAAGGGAATAGCGGAGCCAAAAAGTTCGACAGGGATGATGAAGAATTCGAGAATTATATATAGTAGGGTGAAGCGGTTTGTTTTGAATCAATTGGGCTCACATAAAATTTCAATTGGGTTTGACTTGGGGGTGGTGGAGGAAGTTAATTTTTACGGAAGAAAGAAAGAGGTGGTGGCGGCGGTGGCGGAGGAGGTGGGGGAGGTAGTGGTGGCGGCGGGGGTGGTGAGCCGCCATTGTTGATATTTTTTTATTTTTTATTTTTTTTTAAATTTTTTATTGCTTAATAAAAAGAAATGTAAAACAAAAAAAAAATTGTTGGGTCAAAAATAGTGGACCCTATTCATAAAGAAATTAATAAAAAATTAAATAATTAACGAAAATAAAAGTTTGACCGTTAAGTCTAAAAAAATTTCTGTTAAATTGACTAAAATTGATGACAAAAATATTTTAGGGGACTATTTTTGTCAATTGAAAATTCATAGTGAGTCGATCTTGCTACTTCCAAAAGCTGGGTGACGAAAAGTGCATTTTGTCCTTCTTTAATCTTCAGCAGCACCAATAGCAAAAGTAGCAAGCAGCAATATCAGCAACATTCTTCCGTTCCATCATTATGTTTCTTCCTTTTCAACCCCCAATTTGTCCTCAAATATTCCGCTCTTTTCTTTCTTTCTCCCGGGATCACTTGCAGCACCATTTCTCTCCTCCTGTAGCAGGCATTCTTTCACTTTAGTCAGCAGTAGCAACAGGCGGCAAGTAGCAAAGTTGCATCTACCTTCTTCTTCATATTCTCCCTCTTTTTCTTTTTCCACTTGCAGTAGCAGAAACTTGCAGTGACGGTGATGCAATTCCTTCCTTTGGCAACAAGATTTCAGCTCTGGTTCTTCCTGATTAACAGCAGCAATAGCAACTGCAGCAGCTATTTGGCAGCAGAGTGGCTGCCATCCTTAAGCCTCCTTTGGCTTGTTATTGCAGAGTTCATCCACTTGAGATCATCTGCAGTCAATCTTCCTTCATCATCAAGGATTCCTCCTCTTGATCAGCTTCGATCGATCCTTCCAGCCCTTGATTTTCAACAGCTTCCAGTTTGGTTCTTTTTTATGCTCTTTTGTGCAATTTAGCCCCAATTTATGCTGATTTTCCATATTGGCCCTCTGATCACCCTAAAATACAAAATTGACCCAAAATTAAACTTAATCTATTTAATTGACACTAATTTATAAGTTAAAATGAGTAAGAATTGCCTATAAAGTGGGGTTTAATTTAAGTGATATCTGAAATACACAAGGAATTTAAGAAAATTGGGCTTCATGGAAATTATACTCTAGGGTTGATGAACCCTAGACATATTTTGATCCAATTTGAATGCGAAGAGGACTACTAACATTGTTGTATACAAACCTTTTGTAATTTTGCTGGATACTCGATCAGGATCCTCAAGTGGAAACCGGGTTTTAAATTTGAAGAGGATCCATCAATAGTCCCAATATGGGTGTCTCTTTTGGATCTTCCAATTGAGTTCTTGAATCCGCAAGTCATTTTCTCTTTGACAACGGCGATTGGAAAACCATTAAAGGTTGATGCCGCCACATTAAACATGACTCGGCCGTCGCTAGGTTCCGTGTGGAGGTCGATTTGAGAAAGGATCTTCCAAAGTTCGTCAAGATCGAGAAGACAGGCAGGAAGCATGAGCAGCTATTTACATATGAACACCCTATTGTTCTAAATGTCATAAGAACGAAGATTGTAAGAAAAGAATGGTGAAGAACAAAAGCTCATCAGATGCAAGCGCGAAAACCTTGCCATCGCGGCCCTCGCAGCCGCACGTGCTTGGGTTTCCAAGAAGAAGCAAGGTGCAGCCCGTGCAAACGCTAATTTAGAAACCATTGGGATTGCATTGTCATCGGGGTTAACTGAGAAGGAAAAGGAAGCCACTGTTGTTGATGTTCAAGACTTCCTCTCCCCCACCCCCCCCAACCAAAGCAAATGCGAACTATTATCCAAAGCAGATTGAACCACCGCAATTGCACGTAAAGACTCCGCATGTCTCCCAGCCCGCAGCGACCGCAAACGGTTTACGCTGCTGGAAACTATTGATGAAGTTGATAATGAGAATCATGAGAAAGAATCTGATGAACAAGTAGAGGAAATTTATACAAAAATCCCTCCATTGCAAGTGGTAAATGCAGCTCTTGATGATGTTGAACAGGCGCTGCAACGGTTGGACAGTAGCAATCCCCTGCGCGTCGGCCATTTTTCAGATGATGGGGAAGTTGGAAAATCTTCGGATTTATAGGAAGTCGTGACTGGGGAACATGGTTGCTGGTCAGAAGGTGAAAAGGATGATGTGCAGGTTCAAAAATCAGGCCAAGGGATATTTGAAGGGAATAATACGGTGTCACGAAAAAGAGGCAGAAAGACGAAGGACGAGAAGGCTACAATGTTTAAAGGGGTGATCCCTAGGCGATCACCTAGGTTACAGTAAAATTTTGCTTTTTTCTCCCAATCTTTTTTCATGTTAAGTCAACTAATTTGGAATATTAGAGGAATAAAGAATCAAGCGTCTCAACGGCGTTTGAAAGCTTTGAATAAAATGCATAAAATCTCGATTCTATTTATTTTAGAGCCTATGATTACTAGTGATCAGATTGATAATATCAGGAGGGAGCTTGGGTTTGATTTTGCTTTTTCATCAACTAATAGTAATTTGGATTTTTAGTAGGAATGGTTTTATGCTCACCTTGCTGAATTATTTGGAACAAGTCCTCGACTTTGAAGTTAGTCATGCAATGGTTTCTGATAATTCTTCCTCGCAACAGTATATGCTAAATCTACAAAGATTGAACTTTGCTACTTGTGGCGGCATATGATCAGCTTTAGGCAACTTTATTCGACGGGCCCTTGGATGATCGGTGGTGATTTTAATATGATCCGAACACTTGAGGAATATTCGAGAACTTCAATCCAAGATTTGGAAGCAATTTCAGAGTTTAATGAATCTATCAAGAGTGTGTGAGCTAATGGAAATTCAGGCGATTGGTAAAACCTTTACATGGTGGGGGATTCAAGACAAACAGGTTGAATTAGCGAAAAGCTTGATAGACTTGATCTCGGCAGAATGGAATGTGTTATTCCCAACTTACTCAATAGAAACCTAAATCGAACTACTTTTGATTATTGTCCGATGTTTCATTTATTTGATGTACAAGGTGCTAACAAATCGAGGGTATTTCGATTCCAGAAGATGTGGTTGCTGTAATGTCGCGTTGATTTTTACGTGCTAGGTTAAATATTATTATTTGCTGTCGAATTAGAGTTACATAATTTAATTTTGATTTATTAAAGTATGACTACGCCAGAGCTATTTAGTCTTAGAATATAAACAGCAAACCTCAAAGGCTAAGACAAAGTAAGTAGTTTTTAGGTACGTACGTGTACATGATTTAGAAGGTACACTGGATTTTAAAATGAATGTAAATATTTTTATATAGGTTGGTAACAAGTGCAAAAGCTGGAGCTAACCGCCATAAATTCATGTCATTTTTGGAAGCTAGAAACTAAAGCCTCTGAGTATTAGTAATCTAAGTACTCCCTCCGTCTCATAATTATTGTTCAGTTTGAGTTCTTATTTTTAGTATAAATTGTATTAAAAGTGAAATTTCAAACTGGACAATAATTAAGGGACAAAGAAAATATTATTTAAAAAAAAAGAAGAAGAAGAAGAAGAAAGAGACATAACAAAAAAAAAAAAAAAACGAGACAAATGAGTGAGCTAGGTCAGTCCCACAATGATGTCAATTATTCAAAATTAGTTCTAACATTGGTTCGAGATCAAGAGATTCACGTGCACGGGTGGTGTAATTAAGGGATCAAGTTGTCACAAGTTTTCCTTATTCCTTGTTATTTTATCGTTATTGGAAATGTTAGTAAGTAAGCTTTTCAAATGAAAAATTATAGGTAATGGATTTACTCTAAATCAAGGGAGAAGGGGAATGATTTAGTACTCAAAAAAAAAGAAAAACAAAACGTGTATATTACCCGTCCGAACGGTTCGGACGGGCAATATACGCGTCCCGGTTGAACCAATGACGCGTAAGCAACACGCCCGCCTTGCCGCCCGAACGAGCGAGCCACGCGTCCGATTCGAGGCTTGAACGTGTTTCTTGCCCGTCCTTGGTTCAACCGGGACGGGTATATTGCCCGGTTCGAAACAAGCCGGAACGGGTATCTTGCCCGTTCTGTTTTTTTTTTATTTTTATTTTTTTATGTACTTTTAATTCTGTTTTTTTATTTTAATTTTTTTTTATCCTTTTTTTTCATTATATTATTTTATGATTCTTTGATTATTTGTTTAGTAAGTTAGTTAGTTTTTAATTAGATTAGTTTTTTTGAATTAGTTATGTTAACAACTCAAAAATTGCTAGCTGGAAAAATAAGTTCTTGTCACCAGGTGGGAGATTAATTCTTTTGCGACACGTTTTATCGGCAGTGCCGAGTCATGTGTTGGCAGCTATTCCTCCCCCAGTAAATGTGTTGAAGGAAATGGAGAGAAAATGTCAACGTTTCCTATGGCATGGGGGAAACGAAGAAAAGAGGAGGCATTGGAGAGCTTGGGACCGGCTGACCTTTCCTACTTCCGAAAATGGACTTGGGTTGCGGAAATTTGATGATGTGTTGCGCGCCTTCTCATGTAAATTATGGTGGAAGTTCAAGCAGCAGAGTGGATTATAGAGTAAATTTATTTCTTCTCTCTCGATTTCAGCAAGAGAAAGAACATCTTGGAGTAGAATCATGAAAGTTGCTGAGGAAGCGTCACAAGGTTCAAAGGTTTTAGTTCGCGGGGGAGATCGATCCTTGTGGTTTGAAAACTGGACATCTACGGGGGTGATATGGAATGATTTGAATGAGAATCCCTCTATTCCAGACTTGACCATTAAAGATTTCATAAATAATAAATTTTTATATTTGCATGAATTGCAGGATTTGTTACCCTTGGACGTGTTGCGGACTCTGGAGCATTTTGATGAAACACTTGTACCAGGCTGCGACTTGTTAATATGGCAGCATTCTTCTTCTGGATCTTTCACCTTTAAATCTGCCTATTTGAGACTAAGGAAGAGAGGATTGGAGGATTACTTCTCTAAGAACTATTGGCATAAATTGATTCCTTTGTGAGTCTTCTTTTTTATGTGGAAGTTGCGGAATTCGCTTGTGCCATTTCCAGAAATCTTGAGTAAGTTTGGAATACAAGTTTTGCCATCTATGTGTCTTTTGTGTAAGGTCAGACGTGACTCAATGGTGCATTGTCTTTTTGAGTGTTTGGAGGTCTAGAAAATTTGGAAATTCTTTTCTCATTTGTTTGGCATGCCGTGGAGGGAGGAAGTTAACTTGCTTGTGGTTTTAAATAACTGGTGGAATCGTGGTAGTTTCTCTTCAGATTTGAAAGCTCTTATCAAGATTATTCTGTCATTAATTCTTTGGGAGATTTGGAAAATGAGGAATAAAATGCTATTTGAAGGAGAGAAATTCAATAGGGAGAAGGTTATTTTGGCAACCAAGGTACACATATGTAATGTTTTAATGACTCATGATTTGCAGGCGCAGAATGTAGAAGAGAGGAATTGGATTGAAAATAATTTTGGCTTTCAGCTTCAAAAGGTGCGGATGAAAACTTGTATGGCTGTTAGGTGGAAGGCTTCAAAGGGTAGTGATTATGTTTTTAACATTGATGGCTCACTTATTAATTCGGATTCTGGATATGGCTTTTGCATCAGGAAAAGGAATGGTAGCTCTGTATATGGTGAAAGTGGTTACTTAGGAAGAGGTGATAGTTTTGATGCCGAGGTTTATGGAGTCCTGTTTGGAGTACAGAAGTGTTGTCAGCTTGGCTTAGAGAAGGTGGATATTCAAACAGACAATAAAGGTTTGGCTAGCCTTTTACTGTCTATGAAGAATGTTCCATGGAAGCATTCTTTTCACTTGATGGAAATTTGTCACATTATGGAGATGCGGCCCTATACTGTTTAGCATATTTTTAGAGAGGCAAATTCAATGGCAGATGGATTAGCAGGTGAAGCTTCTCTTGGAATATCAACCAGATACAATACTATGAGTAGTCTACCTAGACATGTTAGGGGACTTGTACATCTAGATCAGGTTGCCTATACATATATTCGGTCGCGACAAATAGCTTTTTTTATACTGGTAAGTCTTATACACTGCCAAGTTTCTGGTTGATAATTAATAAAATGAAGGAGGAAGCTAAGGAACTAAATGATATGTATGTCCACCCCTTGGGTATACCCCTTGGGTGCTTCATATCATTTGGCTATAATACCCTTAAAAATTCATCTCTTGGGTAAATCCCTTGAGTGTTTTTAAGTCAGTTAGAACCCGAACTTCTTTCCAACCTTCCTAATTATTTTTTTAAAAAAAGAATTAGTTATGTTAACAATTAATTTAGTAATTAGTTAAATTTTATTTTTTTTGGTTTATTTAATTAGAAATTATATTATTATTTTATATGCAAAATTAATTAATTATAGTAATTTAAGTTTAGTTATAGGGAAATTTAATTTGATATATTTTTTTGATTAGTTAAATATTTGTTTTTTTATAATAATTTTGTTTAATGTAATTGTATGTTTTTTAATTATTTATTAAAATTGTATATATATTATTTATTTTTTAAATAATTTTAAATTATGTTTAATTTAGTTTATTATAGTGCAATATTGTTTTTTTTTTGTAATTTTATGTTTAATTTGTACGATTCGTTCGAAGATTTGGTGGCGATGGTGAAGATGACAGTGTAGTATTTGCTACAGATGAGGAATTTGCAGAAAAGGATGATGTTGTTGATTGTGTGAAAGGCATGAGCTTAGCAAATGATATGATAATAAATGTAGTTTCTGGCAAGAGAAAGAATGGTGTTTTGATGAGATGTTTTAAAGGTGGAAAGGTCAAGGGGTCACTTGAAGATTGTGAAAAATATGTCTCAACGGATTCGAAGACACAAATCACTGGCTGTAAATTTAAGGTATATGTGCACTCAGTTAGTGGAAGGTGGCGCATTTATGTGTATCCTGGTGAGTTTGGAATGCATAATCATTCCCTATTTAACGAAGATCATCCCACGAGGGACCTTAGCGATAGAGTGAATCAGGTTATATAGGGTATGTCTAAAGATGGGTGCAGACCGTGTCAAATAATAATAGCGATTGAGAGAAAATTTCCAGATAAAAAGTTAACACACGACAAGTCTACAATTATAGGAAGAAATTGCGTAGTCAGGGTTGCCAGTCTTGGGTGACTCGAGTGCCATGGATGTCGCGACGAAGACACTATCGGTGGCGAAGCATCATCATTACATCATTATGACAGATTGCAATCAGGAGACAGGTGTGCTGACTCGTGTTTTTTTTGCACATCCTGATTCTGTCAATTTATTATGCACTTATTTCTGGGTTATCGGAATAGACTCTACATACAAGACGAATAAGTACAAAATGCCGTTGGTTGAGTTTATTGGGATGACACCGGGTAACCAAACCTTCTTGATTGCATACGCCCTCTTGAGTGACGAGACTCGTGAAAGTTATTATTGGGCTTTGAGACAGTTTAGGGATTTGCTTCCTGGTCATCTGTCTCCGGCTGTTATTGTTATTGATCGAGAACCGGGATTGATGGCACCTCTGAGTATGGTTTTTCCAGATTCACGCCACTTGTTATGTGTTTGGCATGCTTATGAGAATGTAAAGCGATATCTCAACAAGGAATTGAAGTTTGACGCCAAGGTTGCAAATGGTTTTGCATATGGGTTGTGGAAACACGTTGTGGAAGCTAAGAATCAAGATAACTACAATAAAGCTATTGCCGTAATAAACCGTCATTGGCACAATTTTTCGAGAGTTCTTAATTATATCTATAACACATGATTAGTGGTTGACTACAAATTCGTCAAGGTGTGGACGAATGTTGTGTTTCATATGGGCAACACTACTACAGGTAGGGTGGAGAGCGTGCACAATCAGTTAAAAACTTGACTGGAAACATCCACTGCGTCGCTGGATACACTTTGGGCTAAGGTGCACTTGGAAATTCAGACTCAGCTAACTGATATACGGTAACATCTACTCCATTATGCTCTATTTATTATATATTTAGTATTTTTGGTATTTTTATAAATGTTTTACAGCAAATGGTTACAAAAAATATAATCCTATATTCAGATACAAACTAGAATACTCGAGACAGAAAATTGGCACCCATTATTGCGGTTTTCCATTGAATCGCTTAAAGTGTCAAGTTTCCCATACATGTTCGGAAAAATTGAACACTGAGTGGTTGAAGACGCAAGAGTGGAAAAAAGAAGTGAATGACAGATGTGATCATGTGGTTTACTGGACTTGTCGAATTCCATGTGTGTGCGCCCTCAAAAAGGCTGCAGATGCCGGCACATCGATTACTCTTAAGCATATTCACCCATTCTGGGCGACCGTTAATATCGGTGAACAGGCTGCTACTGGTGGTTCGACCGATGTGGATGACGATGTCCTTTATACCACACAGTTGATGGAAGAGCTGAACGAGTGTCCTAAGGCAGTACGACGTACGACAAATAGGGCTTTCCACGATATTATGCATCTAGACCAGTGTGGGTTCAAACAACCCGAGGAGGTCAAGAGACGGAAGGGGCGGCCGAAGGGGGCTAAATCAAAAATAAAAGCAACACTTAATGTGTGGGATTACAGGGACGACACTCTAGGAAAGTCGACCACAGTGACGAGCGATTCAAGTAAGAAGCGCCCCTCGTCTTCAGGTGGTCGTAAAAATGCATCCACAGGTACAAATTAAGAACTTATTTTTGCATCCATAATTTATTTATTAACATTTGTTCCAATTAACATTTCTTCCGTGTAATTTACAGATATTTTTGCGAGTGATATTTCACATTATTGTTGCTACGACCTCATTCCATGGCCCATTCGGACATATATTACCAATTACCTTGATGTTGCTGCTGATGGCAATTGTGGACTTCGCGTTGTAGCGAGTAACATGTTCATGTGCCGGGACCAATGGGCGATGGCGAGAGAGGCAATGGCGACCGAGCTAGAACAGAATTGGCATCTGTACAAGAGAATTTACGGGTATACCTATTTTTCATTTTCTATATTATTATGTTTGATTGACTGCAGTATTTTGCACAAATAATTATACATGTAAATGCAGGACCACCGTGCAGGAAGAAGTCAGTCGTATACGGTGGAGTGGATTAGGTTTTGCACCTGAGCGACATTGGATGTGTACGACGGACTTGTTCGTAGTTGCGATTATGAACAATGCAATTGTGTACTGTTACGGTGCAGGAGAAGAGAACCAGTCGCTAAACAGCTCATGTTGGACTATACTACCTGTTACTGCATGTGGTGGGGCAACATGTCCGGCATATCAGATCGGGGTATGTCACATTGGTATTTACAAGCACTTCATTCGGATAAATTTGGACGGTGACTTTCCAATTCCACCGATCGATAATAGGTGGACTAAGGAACATGATCCTAGCGTTACTGGTTGAGAATTACCACTTCTTCCTAGAATTCAAGAATGGTATAGGTTGGTCCCCTTCAATCCTCGACGACCCGTGGATGATAATGATTACATTGATCTTAGTTTCTTAGATTAGATCCATGTTGGTTTGTTTGTTGTGATGATGATAATGGTGTTATCTATTATCTAATTTGTTTATTTTTTATGTATTGTGCAATAACATACCACAGGGACATAAAAAAATATACCACAGGGACACCAAATAGGCTAACTAATATATAACACACAATAATGGTATAAAAAAAAACTAAATCCAGTCCAAGAAAAAAAAATTAAACAAATCCAGTCCAAGAAAAAAAAACCATTCTAGTTCAAGGAAAAGAAAATAAAACACAATCATACGACACTGATAATGCTCATGGGGCCTTGTAATAATAGACCATCGTATCCTGCAGCTTCTCATCATATTCAGCACCAAGATTGCGATTGGACACTTTCACCTTTTTAATCAGGTCCCTAGTGATTTTCCTCAATTCATTCATCCAGTGAAGAAAAAGAAACCAAAAAAATGTTAAACTATATAACATATAGAAATGTATATCTCAAAAAATTAGTAATTAGAAATACAACTTACATAATTCTGACTGCTGTTAGCTGGTGTGGAGTCTGAAGACGGGTCAGTTGTCGGCAGGAGAAATGGATGTGAATACTGCCTGTACCATTCAAGGTATCCCTCCTCACACTCTCCTATGATCTCACCGAAATTGAAGCGCCTCAAACCCAAATTAATACACCCTGACTCTGGGAATCTCCTCCAAGTACTGAGTGTGTCAACAGCTGAATGCTCTACAAAGTACTGGATAGTTTTCGGTCCTCGGAATGCATCATCAAGGGACATGGGCGAACGAGGAATATTCTGTACGTAGCCAATCTGTCGTATAACTTTGTCCGGCATGTATGGCTCCTGGAAGTTCCTATACATTATCCACCCACTGTAGATAGTCCTCGGAACTATTCCTTGTTGGTCTGGTCCAAATGGCTCCCACTTTACCTGTAAAATATTATTTATATTATTTATAAATATAAATTTTAGAAAAATGAAATACAGTCAAAAAAAAATATGTACCTCTAACTCGGTCAACCTGTCGAGACGCTCCCTAACCTGACGAAGACGATCTGGCACAGATGTCGGCCCCGCATAAGATGGTGGTATCCAGTCATGTACTCTTGGCCTGTCGTTACCCCTACGTGTAACTCGCCCTCCCTGGGGGCGGAAGCATGGGAAATACTCGTAAATCCAAGCCTGCAGTAGGGTCAAATAACCACCTAACTGAGTGCACTTTGCCCTACTAGCCATCCCTAATTGACGGTATAGGAACGCCAGCATAGCAGAGCCCCACGAGTATGAACCCATATTTTCGATCCCAGCCATAAGCTCATTTACAAGTGAAAAACTGCACCTCCCACCACTCTCGTCCATGAACAATGTCGAGGCTAACAATAACCACAAGAAAGCAGAGGCTTGGGTATTCTCGTCCGCTTTCTGGCATCGCTCAAGGATGAACCAATCAGAGACACTGCCATGACTCCATTTGTAACCATTCGAATCCAGTCCAAGTATTCCTGCTGCATGTCCCCACACATCTGTCTCGGGCGTACCTGACACCAACTCTCCCTCAACCCCAATACCCAAAATATGATAAACATCATGCATCATGATGGTCATCTCCCCGAACTACAAATGAAATGAGTTTGTGTCCGGCTGCCACTTCTCTACAAATGCACTTACTAAGCCAAGATCAATATCATCATACAAGGTATGAAGAAGGTGACCCAATCCAGTCCCTCAAATCTTGCCTTTCACTGCATCATCTATATCCCTATACCACAACTTTAACTTATTGAGAATCTTTTCGCCTTTAAATATCTTCAGGATGGGTCTATGATATCCATGCCATAAATTATAAGCAATATGCCCAAGAAAGGTAGGAATCACGCTATTATCTTTCGGCCCACCAGGTACTTCATCTGTCACTAGCCATATAGTCGGATCAATTTCATCAGAAACTCTCGACTGGCTGCTGCCGCCTGTACCATGAATAAGTAAAACAAATATTATTTATTCTATTTTATACACATACAACAATTCAACAAATATAGTTAAAAAAATTTAAATTAAAAATAATTATATAATTTTAAATAATTACAAAAATTAAATATAAATAATTGGTACCCGATGATACAATAGTGGTAACAGGACGTGTAGATACTCCAGTGGAGATGGGACCTCAGCGAGGGCACACGAGATCAATGAGAGGGGGAGGACGTGTAGATACTCCAGTGGAGACGGGACCTCCGCGAGGGGGCACGGGATCAATGGGGGAGATGCCTGACTAGTGCGGGAGGGACGAGACCGACTACTTGTGGATATACCCTGTGAGAATTGAACAACACTAGGGAGAGAGGGACTACAATGTGGACTGCGCCACTCACCACTAATAGGAGAAGGGATTGGGGTAGGGGGAGAGGGTAAATCTCCAGGACCAGACTGTGGACAACCAAATAGGAGAGGAGGGTAAATACTAGGATTGTACATAGGGCGATCTCTGTGATGCGCATCCATCCTAACACTGTCCTGCACATCATCCTCATCAAATTCATTCTCCTCATCCTCATTCTCCTCTTCCAGGTCGTCCTCAGAATACTCGGGTACATTAATCAGCTGACTAGATCAAGGCTCAAATGGTACACCACCCATATTTACTTGAGTCATTTTCATTCGCTTCTTTAACTCTTTTTCCTCTCTTTCTTCCGACGACTCATGGTCAGATAACGCGCACGAACTTACGCTTACTAGTATTTTCAGTATCACTAGTATCACTATCATCATCATCATCACAATAAACCTATAAACAAAATTTTAGTCATCATCATCATATTTTCCTAGTCTAAACTTTTTAACCATACAAATTTTCTAAATCCTAAATAGTTTAATAATTAAGTACCCTTTGATTAAATGTACAAATCAGATAACAAAGTAATTATATACATAATATAAAACTAATTATCATACAATATTTAACTACACTAATTTAGTATTCATTAAAATAATTATATACATAATATAAAACTAATTATCATACAATAATTAACTAAACTAATTAATCTATTGTACTTAATTATAAACTAAACTAATTTACAAATTATTTATTAAATTACTCCAAAAGGCTGTTGCTAAGAAGAAAAAAGTTCCGGTGAAGATTGTTGATGGCGCCAAAAAGATGGATCCTCCGCAGGATACTGATTCAAACGCGCAGGCTGCCTCAAAACCTAGAGCGGATACAGCCGCGACTAACCCTAGCGCACAGCCTAATGCGCAAGGGGGCGTAACGTCGGGTTCAGTTGCAGCTACAGCCCGAACTTCTTCGTCAGGACTCTCTGCCAAGGAGAAGAAGATGATCCCGGTTGATGTGCAGGAAACAGCAGCAGAGGATCTGCCTCAAGAGGCTTCAAACTTACCGGTTTCTCCACCGCAAATTGTAGAACCAGGTTGCGCGCCAAACCCTAGCGCGCAGCCTGTTGCAGAGACGAACAAATTTTCTGTTTTGTCTTCGATTCAGGAGATAGAGGATGAAATTGGATCTAACGAGGATTTCATCGAATCAGTTTATGTAGAAGACTCCCCAAAAGTAGGGGAAACATGTCGGGTTGATGATCATGTTGAATCACGTGTTCTAGCATTGATGTCTTTGACGGAGATTCCTCATATTTTTTCTGACGATGCTGAAATCGGGTTGCACGGAGCTGGTTTGGAGAATGAAATGGGAAGCTGGTCTGAGGGTGAGAAGGACGAGGTCCTGGTGCAAGGGGACGTCCGGGGAGACTTCACGGTTACAAAGAAACGTGGCCGCAAATCCAAGGAGGAGCGCGCAAGATCGCAGGAAGGTTTGGTGTTGCGGCGATCAGCCCGCTTAAACTGATTTCTCCCTAATTTTTTTCCTAATGTTAAATCAAATAATATGGAATATTCAAGGCATAAAAAGCCAGGCGTCCCAAAGGCGTTTGAGGAGTTTGCTTCGGGTTTATAATGTTCACATTCTGGTTATTTTGGAGCCTATGCTTCAGGTTGATAAGTTAGATGAAATAAAGCGAGAGCTTGCGTTTGACACTACTTTTTCTTCAAATAATAGCAAAATATGGTTTTTTTGCAAGTCTGAAATTCAAGCTTCTTTGTTGCGTGATGATGATCAAGTGCTGCACTTTGATATTAGTCATCCTCTTGTGTCTCGGCCTTACATATTGCGGCTGTGTATGCTAAATCGACAAGGGCTGGGAGACGTGAGCTATGGAAAAGTTTGGAAGGCTTTAAACGCAATAATATGGGTGCTCCTTGGATGGTATGTGGGGACTTTAATGTTATTAGATGCTTGGATGAATATAATGGTGTCTCGGTGCAAGACCATTCGGCCATAGAGGATTTCAATATGTGCATTCAGGCTTGCAATTTGCTAGAGATTCCAGCTGTTGGTGAGGATTTTACTTGGGGTGGAACAAGGCAAACCGGTTGGGTGAGCAAAAAGTTAGATAGAGTCCTCTTCTCGAATGAATGGTTGGATCTCTTTCAAGTTAATTCCATTGAGAATTTGAGTAGAAAAACGTCCGACCATAGCCCCATGCTACATATGTTTGGAGTGCAAGGAGTTTCCAAGCCTAGAGTCTTTCAGTTTCAGCAAATGTGGCTGCAAAGACCGGAGTTCATTTCGGTAGTCAAGGAGAATTGGGAGCAGCCCATAGATGGTTTTGGAATGATAGCTTTCTCTCTTAAATTGAGAAGGCTTAAAGCTAAGCTTAAAGAGTGGAATAAATCGTGTTTTGGTGATGTATTCGCCAACTTGAAGGAAGCGGAAGCAACCGTTCAACACTTTGAAAAGCGTCACGATCTATCCAGCTTGGAGGGAGACAGAATGAACCTGCATAATGCAAAGGCTTTGCTGCTTTTGAGACTTAAAGAGCAAGAGGATTTTCTAAGACAAAAAGCACGAATCAGGTGGTTGAAAGAGGGTGACGCTAACACCTCCTACTTCCATGCTTCTTTAAGAGAAAAACGGCTAAGACAAAATATCCATAAAATTCAGGATCGACAAGGAATCATGCTAACTGATTTGAATGCCATTGAGCGTGAAGCTTCTGGTTTCTTTGAGGATCTTTTAAGCGAGGATGCAGCCTATGGATCCTCGCATGAGGTTTCTTGCAACATATCCCGGTTATTTTGGGGGCTGAGGACCATGACCTTCTCTTGCGTCCCATCTCATTGGAGGAAGTCAAAGGAGCTGTTTTTAATCTAAATGAAGAAAGTGCTCCAGGTGTAGATGGATTCACTGGTGTTTTTTACCGAAGTTGCTAGAATGTCATCTCGGAGGATCTTTGGTCCGCATGCAAAGAGTTTATGCTTGGGGTGCCAATTCCACGAGCTATTGCTAGCACTCTGATTAGTTTGCTCCCAAAAAAAAGACTGTAGTACTTTTTCAGATTTTCGCCCAATTAGTCTTTGCAATTTCCTCAATAAAATTTTTACCAAAATTTTGACTGAGCGTTTGAAGGAGGTGTTACCAAAAAGTTATTTCTGAGAAACAGTCAGCTTTTTTGTCCGGAAGGGACATCATTGATAATGTTCTGTTGGCACATGATCTTTGCCAGTTCATAAATCGCAAGGCAGAGGGAGGTAATATTGTTTTGAAAATTGATATGATGAAAGCATTTGATAGGGTCAAGTGGAGCTTCCTTGAATCTATTTTACTGAAGTTTGGTTTTCCGGCTCTTTTTGTAAAATTAGTCATGAATAACCTCCAGAACAGTTGGTTTTCTGTGTTGATAAATGGTAGTCCGGCTGGTTTTTTTAAAGCCTCCCGGGAAATCAAGCAAGGGGATCCGTTGTCACCTTACTTGTTCATCATAGTTTCGGAGGCTTTAACTAGAAGATTGAAAACTCTAGTTTTGGACGGTAAGATAGCTCCCTATGGATCTCCTGCTGGTTCACTTGTGGTCTCCCACTTGTGTTTTGCAGATGATTTGATTATTTTTACAAAGGGAACTCAAAGATCTCTACGAAGGCTAAACACTTTCTTTGAGCAATATGAAAAAGCTACAGGTCAAAAAATCAGTAGGGATAAAAGATCTTTCGTGGCCTCGGAGAAGTGTAGTTCCAGAAGAATAGACATTATCAAAGGCACATTGGGAATGCAACATGGCGCGTTTCCCTTCACATATCTGGGTTGCCGGATATTTAATGGGAGAAAAAAGGCGGCTATATTCCAATTTCTCTTGGACGCTATGGATGCTAAGCTCCTGAATTGGAAAAACAAGTTTTTATCCCCGGGAGGCCGGCTCATGCTGATTCGGTATGTTTTGAGTTCTATGCCACGTCATGTATTCTCAGCAATTCCACCACCGAAGTCGGTCATTAGGGCTATGGAAGCTCGCTGCCAAAAGTTTCTTTGGGAAGGATCAAGTGAAGCTAAAAAGCGGCATTGGCGCTCCTGGGAAAGAGTCACTTTTCCGGTACATGAAAATGGCCTTGGGTTGAGAAGTTTTGAAGATGTTATCTCTGCTCTCACTTCAAAATTATGGTGGAAATTGAAGAACAACAAGGGCATTTGGAGTGCCTTTCTCCACTCCTTGTCTCATTTAGCTAAGGAGAAGACCTCTTGGGCTAGGGTAATGAAAGTTAGTGAGCGAGCTATATCATTCTCTAAGATTATCGTACGAAGTGGAGATCGATCCTTCTGGTTCAACAATTGGGGTCCTAATGGTGTTTTTTGGGTTAAGGCTTTTGATGAGCCTCCATGGCCGGACCTTTGCATTCGAGAATTTCTAGAGAATAAAGATCAGTACCTACCGGCTTTATAGGCCTTCCTTAGTCCAACAAACTTTGCCTTCTTGGAAAGTTTTGATATGGATTTTATGGAAGGTGAAGATATTCTTGTTTGGCAAAGTACTCCTCAAGGACATTTTACGGTAAAATCCGCCTTTGAGTCACTTCGACGGAGGCAGCAACCAGATTTGATACTTAAGCCTTTGTGGCACAAGTTCGTTCCTTCGCGCGTCTCTTTCTTCCTCTGGAGATTGCGCAATGGTTTGCTTCCATTCCCTGAAACTGTTAGTGCCTTTGGTATATCAACAAGGCCTTCCATGTGTCTCCCCTGCAGAAAACAAAGTGATGATTTGCATCATTGCTTTTATGGTTGTAATTTTATTACAGCTATATGGGATCATTTTGCTCTTGTTATGAGTGTAGAAGTTCGGGGGCATACCACTTTGTTGGGTCTATTGAAAATGTGGTGGCGTCATGGATCTTTCGCATCAGCAAAAACGTCTTTGTATCACTTATTCCCCATCTTTATTTTTTGGGAAGTTTGGAAGGCAAGAAATAAGGCAATCTTCGAAGAAGTTCAGCCCTCTGTAAGCTCGGTCATTCACCTTATCCATCATTAGGTTAAAGACTTAATCTTTATTCATGGCTTAAAAGTGGTGGATGAAGCTGAAAATTCTTCTATTTTAAGCCTTTTTGGATATCACTTGACTCGAGCTACTAAAAGGCATCCTAAAATAGTGAGATGGATTCCCCCAGATTCGAACTGTTTTGTTTTGAATTCGGATGGCTCATCTAATGCTAATGGGGCTGGTTATGGTTTTGTCATCCGAGGAGAGGGTGGTAAGTTCATTTATGGAGAAAGTGGATATTTGGGTGAGGGAGATTTTTTCCAAGCAGAAATCTTTGGCATTCTATTTGGACTTCGCAGGTGCGAGCTCCTACAACTTTCAAATGTTAGGGTACAAACCGATAATCATTCTCTGTCTTGTATTTTGAATGAGAAGAAAGGATTTCCATGGCATTTTTACTTGGAGTTGACAGAGATGTGCTCTATCATTTCAAGGAATAATTTCTTGGTCTCTCATATCTACAGGAAAGGCAATGCAGTTGCAGATTTTTTAGCTAAACAAGCATCAAGTGGAGTATCTATTGCTTACAATTGTTTTGTATCACTGCCTCGTTTTGTAAAGGGACTTTTGATATTAGATCAATTGTCCTTTCCATACGTACGAAAGTAGTTCTATGGCTTTGTACAAGGGTAAGACATAAACACTGCCCTCCTTTTTCCACATTTTAATAAATTCGGGGATGGGTGAAGCTAGGGAACTATATAGTATGAATGTTCATCCCTTGGGTAGAGCCCTTGGGTGCATTGTACTATATAGCACTGTCTACCTCAAAAATTTACCTCCTGGGTAGACCCCTTGAGTTTTTTTGAGATAAGTGGAACCCGAAAGTCACCCTTGCCTTCATGTTGAGTTAATCCAATAAACTAAACTAATTTACAAAATATTTAAAATTAATTTATTTAATCATAAACTACATTACAAACAAATTAGATTAACTTCTATTATTAATTAAATTAATCCAATAACTAAAGTAATTTATTAACTATTTAAATCAATTTACTTACACAATTTAACTAAATAACAAACTAATAATCAATGATCTAAATCACAAACTTTTTTAAACTAATTACATTAAATATATTAAATTATAAACTAATTACATTAAATTATAAACTAAATTAGTAAATTAAATACATTCCACATAATAAAAAACTAGTAATGAATTAAAAATTAAAAAAATTCAAAATTAAATTAAATTAAAAAAAATATTCTGACCGGTCCGGTTCTCCGACCGGACCGATCTTGGACCGGGCTCATCTCGGGCCAAGCTGCAAAAAATCGTTGCTTGCGCGTCCGCCCAGCGCTGCCGGACGGCTTCCTTGGCCATTCCGGCGGCCGTTTTTTTGCGCGTCTGCCCAGCGCCACCGAACGGCTTCCTTGTGTCACGGATAGTTTTTCTTCCCCACGAATTCGGGTGGTTTGCTGCAAAACAGGCTATTTTCGTAGACGGACATGGGACGGAACGGTCTAGAGCCTTGTGGAATTCTCCGCTCAAATCTTGAAGATTCTGAAATTTTCTAGAGAGGCCCGGAACTCTCTAGAAACGGGTGGAACCGTGTGGAAGCTACCCGAGTTTGCTAGAACCGTGTGGAAGATTCTAGAGACTTGTAGATATTTTGAACTTAGAATATTTTATTGTAGGAATTCTCTAGAATTCCATTATTTTATTATGTACATAGAATTCTCTAGAATTCTTTAGGACTTGGGGTTTGCCTATAAATACCCCATGCCTCCTTCATTTGTAATCCATCCAAGTTTTGAGTAGAGTTCTCAAGCATTCCTTAAGCTCTCTTGTGCCTTCATCGTTCTTTCACTTTCAACCTTTCTTAAGTTTTTCTTTGCCTCCGTTCTTTAAATCATTGCCTAGCTTTGCACGCTTTGGGGGTCTTAAGGCTGAGCTACCACTTGATCGTTAGTTGTTTTGTGCTAGTGCCGCACGGCCGTTACTTTGAAAAAGTAAGCCCGTGACAGTTGGTATCAGAGCCTCGGCTCGATACTTGGTGTGCTACATCGTCTACGCTTCCGTTTGTTGGTTTTCTTTCGTGCATAAGCTATGTCCAACCCTTCGGAGGTCGTTCAAGGGTCGGAGCTTGAGGGGGATCACGTTTCCCGCGAGGTGGGGAGGACCACCCGCAAAGGAACCCGTAAGGAGAAGTCGGTCGTTAGGGAGCCGATGGTGGAATTGGAGAAACGGCTTGCCAAGCTAGAGCTTGCTGTGGCCGACCACCAAGACCGTTGGGGCGAGCACCCTGAGGTGGTAGCAGGGGTCGTCGAAGCTCGCATGGAGCGATTCGCAGGGAAATTGCAAGAGGTCATGCAGCAAATGAAGGACGACATGCTAGGGACGCTCAACGAAATGGTGGAATGTTGCAACAAGTCAAAGGAGGAAAGCCTTGCTCATGTTGCCGCCCTCCAAGACGACGTCAACCGGCTTATGGGGGAGCTGGAGACTTCTCGGGCAGAATCGGCGCGTCTTAAGGCACGGCTTGACACCGTGGCCGTGCAAGGGACAACCGGAGCCGTGGGGACGGTTCCAAGGCTTGAAGCGCCCAAGCTGGACGAATACAAGGGCAGCCGTCGCTTGAGGGATGTAGAGAACTTTCTCTACAGTATGGAACGGTACTTTGGGGCTATGAATATCATGGACGACTCGGTAAGACTCTTCCAAGCCTCTCTTTATCTTAAAGATAGTGCCTTATCATGGTGGAAACGTATGATGAAACCCGTGGGGGGATGGAGACCCGGTCTTCACCACATGGGATGGTTTTAAGGAAGAGTTTAGAAAGTATTTCCTACCCGTGGATGCGGAAGACGAAGCCCGGGCCAAGCTTCGTCGTCTGCACCATAGGGAAGGACAAATCCGGGAATACGTTAAGGAATTTTCGGACTTGATGCTTGAAATTCCGGATCTCTCGCCCAAGGAGGCGTTCTTTACTTTCATGGACGGTCTCAACCGTTGGGCCAAACTTGAGCTACAACAGAGAGAAGTCCAGGACATCGATCGGGCGTTAAAGGTGGCCGAGTCGCTTGTTGAGTTCCAAAAGAAGGATAGCTCCAAGGACAAAGGCAAGAAGCCGTTCCAAGGCAAAGGTGGGGGAGACAAAGGGAAGTCTTCCACACCGCTAAACCGGCAGCCGACTCTACAAAGCCGTCTTCGAGCAAGGAGACCAAGGGGGACAAGCCAAAGAAGTTTCAAGGGTGCTTCTTTTGCGGGGGAGCGCACATGGCACGTGATTGCCCGTCTCGTTCGAAGTTGGCAGCATTGGCACAAGGTTTGTGCCAAGAAGAGGAGAAACGGGTCGCTTGCATGAAACGGCTAGACGCCGTGCATGCCAAGGCCGAGACACGTCAAGGCCGTCTTTACATGGAGGCATCGTTCACAAACGGGTCTAGATGGGGCATGCTAGACACGGGGGCCGACACGAGTTATCTCACGGAAGAGGTAGCCAGTTCGCTTGGCGTCAAGTGGACACCTAGCAAAGGCCGTTTCAAGGGCGTGAACAGCGAATGGACGGGTCTTGTAGGCGAAGCCAGGGATGTGCCTCTTAAAATCGGCAACTGGTCAGGTACGACCAATTTCTCCATTGCACCTATGGATGATTATGGTCTTGTGTTTGGCATGGAGTTTTTAGACCAGGTAAAGCCGATCATCGTGCCTAGCAACGACACGATGGTGATCCTCCAAGGCGAGAAGCCTTGTGTGGTAAAGTTTAGACGGGAAAATGAGATTAGCCCTTCCCAGCTGAACAAGGGGCTAAAACGGGGTGAACACACCTTTGCCGCCATGGTGTTTGAGGAGGAACCATGCATAGAGGAGCCAGCAAAGGAGGAACGAATCCCGCCTCCCATAGAGCGAGTCCTTGTTGAGTTCAAGGACGTGATGCCCGACGATTTGCCCAAAGGTCTTCCACCAAGGAGGGAGGTTGATCATGCCATCGAGTTGGTGGACGGGGCGAAACCGATAGCCAAGGTGCCTTATCGTATGTCCCCTAGTGAGCTAGAGGAGCTCAAGGTGCAAATCAAGGAGCTACTTGAATCGGGTCATGCAAAGCCGTCTAAAAGTCCGTGGGGTTCGCCGGCCTTATTCCAACACAAGAAAGATGGGACGCTACGTTTGTGCATCGACTATCGGGCGTTAAACAAACTAACCGTGAAGAACAAGTACCCTATCCCACTTATAGCGGACTTGTTCGACCGGCTGCAACGGGCACGGATCTTTTCCAAGCTAGACTTGCGGAAGGGATACTACCAAGTACGCATAGTACCCGGTGATGAACCGAAAACGGCCATGGTGACGAGGTATGGCTCTTATGAGTTTCTTGTTATGCCGTTCGGTTTAACTAATGCCCCAGCCACGTTTTGCACTCTGATGCAACGTGTGCTAGCAGATTTCATTGATAAGTTCG